TGGGCTTGAGCAGCCTGGGTATTGTCGAGAGAGAGAGAGAGAGACGGGAGGTTGGGAGACAAGGAAAACAACGTGTGGGGGACAGGCAGTAGGAGGCGGGAGTGAGGGTTACTTACAAAGGAAGCCAAGCAGAGTGGAGAGAGCATGTCTGCTCCGATTTCAAGGAGCTTCCCATGATGCCTTGCGATGTCTCATTCCCTCTGGGTGGTGTCCTTGTGTCTGCAGATAGTGCTGGTGGATGATCGGGAATGTCCTGTGGGAAGAAACGGCCAGGGGGATGCCCCCCTGACACCTCCTCCAACCCCTGTGGACCTGGAGCTTGACTGGGTGCTGGGCAAGATGCCTCAGAAGGTGTGTGCGGGCAGAGAGGATGCTTCTCCTGTGATCTTCCTCTTCAGGCCACCCTTGACCCTCATCGTGCCTTGTCACTGTGTGCCAGCCCTCGCCCAGACGCTCACGTGCCCTGTCACCATCTGTGTTGCAGGAGTTCTTCCTCCAAAGGGAGCCCCCTCTGCTGCAGCCTCTGGCCTTGCCTTCAGATCTGACCGTGCGCCAGGCCCTGGAGCGGGTTCTAAGGCTGCCCGCTGTGGCCAGCAAGCGTTACCTCACCAACAAGGTATTCCTGCACTCTTCTGTTTCTCCAGCTCCCCACAGCTTCCTCCACTCACCCTCCTCAGCCCTGGTGGGGAGAAGTGGCAGGGCAGGGAAGCCACCTTGACGGTCTGGTCTCCATGCCACCCACTCTGAGTGAAGTCCTTGTTTGCATGTTGGGGAAAGCCAGACTTGCCACCACCCTGTGCCTCTGGGGAAGAGCCCGCACTTCCTGGCCCTGTCGCCAACTCTACGTGGGTTCCGCAGGTGGACCGCTCCGTAGGTGGCCTGGTGGCCCAGCAGCAGTGTGTTGGGCCCCTGCACACTCCTCTGGCAGATGTAGCAGTTGTGGCACTGAGTCACCAGGAGCTCGTAGGGGCTGCCACAGCCCTGGGAGAGCAGCCAGTCAAGAGCCTGCTGGACCCCAAGGTTGCCGCTCGACTGGCTGTGGCTGAAGCCCTCACCAACCTAGTGTTTGCTCTGGTCACTGACCTCCGGGTGAGTCCCCGCCGCTTCTGCCCGGGAGCTGCAGGCCTTGGAACACTTCCGC